ATCGTATAAAAATTTTATTCAGCCCTCAAAATGGAGGTTTATGTTTACTCTTTGTAGATGTGTAAAATGCTGCTGGTCCTTTCTGAATTTAAATTGTAAGTTGATTGGGTGTATTTAATAGCATATAGCCCTCCGCAAAGGATATTTCTCTCTTATCAAGAGGAGAAATTTTCTGTTTGTTGTGCGAGCACTTTAAAATGTTGTCACATTAAAAGTTCTTTTGAGTACGTACGACTTTCCGTATTATCCGTCAAACAAAGAATCCAACGAATATTAGTATTTGTTCACGAAACTCGAAGTAAAAATGTGGAAATATTATGGAAATGTCATAGAAATGTATAAATTTTGGGAAATATGGAAAACTGGAAATAAGGAAATGTGGTGAAATGTTATGAAATTTTAGAAATGTTTGGCGCAACATAATAATGGCTCGACAGGTTATTCCGAGGGGCAAATAACTCCTTAAATATGGTGTACACCTGGAATTTTTAATTACTTGATTACCTTTTCAATACTTTAATTACGTTTTGAGTATGTTGAGCCGATCAGTGACTGCAGTTCGTAATGCTTTTTCTCTGCATTGACAATAACAAATTTGGCAAAATCCAGAGAGCCTGTGGTTTGTTCACTTTGTTTCAAGAAAGTGATTTTAAAAAAACTCAGAACTGATTTTGCGAGGCAACATTCTGGCGTAGTACTTACTTGGAGAAAGTTTGAGGACATTATTGTTGAAACCTTAAAAATATTCTGCCTCTCATTCTGCTTTGGGGGTTCCACCAACAGAATCCAAAACAATTCGTACTTTTTCGATCAGACTTCTCAATCAAAAGTTATAGACTAGAAACCAATTTCGAAAAAAAATTCAAAGGGCTGTAACTTTTGAACTAGTAGCCCAATACAAAAACAGTAAAAAAATGGAACACTGGGATTTCTACAAAGCAATGCGTAACTATACCACCTCAGCAATTAAAAGAGAAAAGAAGGCTTACTTAGACTATAAGGTTAAGCATGACATTAACCAAGTTTGGAAGCACCTTAGAACTTTAGACATTTATAACAAGCGGAAAATGGCTGGTATTCCAGCTCACCTTAATGATGTAGAAATGATAAATAAGTCATTAGCTAGTATCAGTACTATGAGTTCAGAATCTGAAAGGAAACTGGTAACATTTTATAGTGAACATTTACTGAAGTCATTTCGTAAATCTTTTTCTTTTGCTGAGGTTGATGAGCGCACTGTGCTACGACATATCTCTAAAATTAAATCCAAATCATCAGGGTCGGATGGTATCACTGTAAAAATGTTAACTTTGTGCTGTCCATATATTTTACCACATCTGACGCACACAATAAATGTTTGCTTAATGACAAGTACCTATCCTACTGACTGGAAACTAGCATATGTCACCCCACTACCTAAGGTCACCAAACCATCCACGATTAATGATTTGAGGCCAATAAGTATTCTGCCGGTTTTGTCAAAAGTCTTGGAGAAAACTATGTCTGAGCAAATAAATGAGTTTCTAGTAGCTGAATCTATTTTATCAAATACTCAATCCGCTTTCAGGGCTGGATATAGTTGCACTACAGCATTATTAAATGTTACTAATGACATTATCTCTTCTGTCGATCAAGGTGAACTGTCAGCTCTAGTTCTGCTTGATTTTTCCAAGGCTTTTGACACAATTAACCACAAAGTACTTATAAGTATCCTTAATTACATTGGTTTCAATCCTAATGCTGCTCGATTAATCGAAAATTATCTGGAAGGTAGATTGCAACAAGTCGTACTAAATGAACATATCTCATCACCTATTAGAATAACGTCGGGAGTACCTCAGGGTTCAGTGTTGGGACCGCTCTTGTTTTGTATATATACTAGTAATTTTCATCGTAGTGTCCATCATGTAAAATTTCACCAATATGCAGATGATGTTCAATTGCAATTCAGTTTCCCTGAATCACTTACTGCAAAGGCAATGGACCATATAAACTTAGATATTAAACGCATTGTTGCTACGTCTGAGCTACATGGACTGAATATAAACCCTCTAAAATCATCTTTTATAATTTTTGGTCCACGTAAGTTAAGAGAGGATCATATCCATAATATAGCAATTAAAATAAACGGCATGGTTCTGTCACCTAAACAGTGTGTAAAAAATTTGGGGCTGTGGATGGATTGCGATTTGCGCTTCAAACAACACATAACCGCCATTAGTCGTAGGGCGTTTTCCAACTTAAAATTAATTTTTAACCATCGACAGTCCTTGAGTTTTCATCTAAAGGTGCTCCTGTGCGAGTCACTAGTCTTATCAAATTTCAACTATTGCGACTCTGTTTATGGTCCTTGTCTTGATAGCGGTGATGTTGCTAGGATACAGAAAATGCAAAATTCCTGCCTTCGGTTAATTTTTGGGGTAAAAAAATATGAAAGCATATCTCACAAGTTAAAAGAGATCAGTTGGTTGAATATGACGAACAGGAGATACCTTCACTCTGCCTCTTTATATCATAGTGTCATTAGCAACCGCACGCCTAAGTACCTATACGAGAAAATCAAATTTAGCTCTAACAGTAGATATTACAAATTGATTACTCCACCTCTCCATCGAACCAAATTTTTCGAACGTTCATATGCTTACAATGTTGCGAAAATTTATAATCTTCTACCGACTAATATTAAAATGATGGGGATGAGTTCATTTAAAAGGAAAATTTTCAAAATCACATTAGACAGACAGAACATGAGTCTTTAATCATTCTTAAATGTTAATGTCATTCTATTTATACAAATTCGATGTCATCTCATCTCATTTTCGATCTCGCTTTGTACACATATTCATTCAACATCTACATTTAATTTCCATACTCTGCGTACTTGTTACTTTATGGTTATTTAGCATAATGCAAAACGATTTTCATTTATCTTTCCATCCATTTATGATTATTTTCCGCTAGCGTTATCTTTTAGTAATCGAATCGAAAGGGGTTAAGTGGAAGAGCAGATGTTCGGTATCTTCGTGCCAAAGCATCTGAACTTCGCCTCATTAGCTAACGGGTAGAATTTGTGTTCCGTTTATTTAAATTCATCTTTAGGTTTCAACAACTGATGTTACTCGTTATCTAATAAAGACACTATTATTATTATTATTATTATCATTAGTTGTCACCTCATTGTAGGGGTCTGGTTTTGAATTACACTTTGTAAATTAGTCTTCTTTGGTTAATTTTGTAACTCAGCTAATGGAAATAACGCTGTGAGAAAATGCTGGTTCAGTAAATTTGAGATTCAGCCACATCCCTAAAAGCCGTTTACTGATGGTGGGAAAGAAATAACGGACCAATAAAAATTCATTAAATTAAATTAAGCTCGGAGCGTCGCAGCTACCAAATGTAAGCTGAGAATTTTCGGGGTTGATATTTTTACCGCCGATTAATTTCTGATAACTTCGGAATAATTAGAAGGTAAGAAAAGGGTTTCTTTAATATATCGCGCAGAACACTCAAAAAACATTCGTTAGCATTCCTTGGGTGTTAAATAGCTAAACGAATATTGAATTAACTTTGCCGTGGTCAAAGTAAATTATCAATTGTTGAAGAAAGACGCATTTGATTTTAAGTTAGTTTTTGTCGTACAGTCACATATAAAAATTGGTTATTAACAAAATTTATTAATTTGTTAACACGTTCTCTAATTTGAACAATAAAAAGTTGAGCAAATAGAATCGGTCAGATCTATTTCCACCACCAATAATTAAATTGACTGTCACTAGAAATACAGTGAACGAAAAAACTCTCCTGTGAATCCTTATTCAATTAAATTACAAAAAATTTTCGATCTACCTTCTCCATTATGAGAGTGAATCCATTTGAAAGTAAACCCCGAAACAAGAGCCAACCTTTATCACAAGAAATTTACATTAAAATTCAACATCTGCTTTATGCACGATCCAGAAAATCAAGATCCAGAGCCGTTCCATGTAATTAAGAACTACCAAATAAATATTCGGGATTCCCAAAGAATGCGTTTAAAGAAAAGTTAGGCGTACATTTAATTATCCGTGTATACATCAAGTTTGAGAATTTAAATTAAAATTGATTGATAAGAAAATGGCCATTTCGACCTAGATGGTTATACGTATTTTTGTACCTCAACGGAAAGGGCATATGAAATTCAAGTTTGGATTCAGTGTTTATTTATTTCACAAGCAACAAAAAAATGAAGACATTTTGTTGTCACATTTCAGATTGCAGGAGAGAGTTGCTATAAAAATTAAATTAAAGGAAGGAAAAAATTTTGGAAAGAGTTAAGCTAGTCGATGGCAAAGAGTAATTCAATTTATTTTATGCCCTCGTACTGTATACCCTAATAATAAGTTATAAGGGTTAAAACACTGGAAACAAGAAAGTAAACGCTTGCATTTTGCAATAATGTAAGAGGATCATTTGCTAAAGTGTTGATATGTAAGAATTAAGTACGCGCGATTCCCCAGAACCATCATTATAAATTTGGTTGGCACTAAAGTACGTCAATAGCAAATAGAATCCTATCAAAGAGCTTTGGTGCTAAATATTAACAACAAAATCCACATGAATAATTAATAATTATGCGGTTTAACGTAACAGAAGTAAATTAGAACGCCAGCACAATTGCGGCAAACACCATTTGCATATTTGACGATTCAGCTGTTGAAAATGTTATGTTTCTAGTCATTGAGTAATGGTTTACCTACTTTTTACAGTGTTCAGTTAAAAACTCGAATTTCTGGGGGAAGTATAATTTGCACCCCAACTTGGTAATTGAGTAATTAAGAGTTGAAGAAATTTTGGAGGGTTACTAAAGTAGACCTTGGCTATCCCTAATAGATCAAAATCTCTAAGGTTGCAAGTACTGATTACATTATTTTCGTTCGCACGCAATGCAACACTTTAGAATTTATGGCGACCACGTTTAATAAATTCGTGCATAAAAATTTTTGAAAATTGTGTCAACCTACCTTCCAGTGAGCTCCAGATGTTTATAGCCACATCTCCTCCGAAAAAATTTTTCTTCTATATACACGGGAATTAACGAAATTTTATAAATTTGTCTTAAACTTAAGTAGGTTAAAGCTTCCACTGCACATTATTTCCATCAAGGTCCGTATTACAATTCGCACTGCAAGTGAAAAATCACTATTATGAAAAAGAAAAGCGAGGGGGTTAATTATAGTCACCTGATAAGATAGTGGATGAGTCTAAAATTTTGCGAAAAAAAACTACGCCCTTTTAACAACCCAAAATATCTACTAAAATATTCAACTTAACTAAATGAATGCGATTTGAACACGCTGAACGTATACGCCTAAACGACTACATCAAAATGGCGAAGCTGTGCTGCCACCATAAATTTGAGCAAAATTCGCTTGTAAACGAGAAAACCCTCAATGAATTTCCAATCAAAGCTACACACACCGGCCCTATCAACCAAATTGAAACGTTTAACTGGCCTAAAAGTGAATAAAAATAGTTTGATAAACACCCTTCTGGATACCTGTCATCCACCTCGGTTTTTTTCTCGCAAACACGCACTTATTTCTCCCAGTTTCCTCAAATAATTTGATAAATCACTAACGTTGACGTTTCGTTACTTAGTTTTTGCGTTAATGGGCGCCCGTACATACATTTAATCCGATTTTTTGGCCGAAACATAAACATAATTGTATAAATACCCGAACTAGTATGCCTACTGCACGACATACATAAGTCCCACTACGCGTATACTCGGCGTGCGTCTTCCAACCGAAAATTTTCGAAAAACTGAACCGAAGGGAGTACAATTAAAGTCATACGAGAATGATATGGCTTTCGCAACAAAGGGCTGGGCTCCTAAGGGTAAGAGTAAGGGAGTCATTCACCGACAGAAATTCCGAAAATAACTCGCACCCTCTCAGTGCACTATGAGGGTCGTACAGGCGGATGCGGGCACAAATTTGCGAGGAATTATGCCAAAACGGTCACTTCGGAGATATGACGCCCGTTAATACTATAACAAAACCGACATGTGCAGTAAGGCGTCGCGGTGCAAGCGCCGATACAATTGTGTACTCTAGCGGACGTCGCTCGAAACACACACAAAAGCAGCGCGCGTTTCTAGCGTCAATATGGGAAGAGCGTGCGCCTTGGGACTTGTACATTCAAACGGGAAAGTAAACACTTCTCCAATGCACATCGCAAATCAATCTTAAAATTTCATCCCCCCATTCAAAAATTGAAAATTGGCGCAATTGCATCTTGCCCGAAAAAGCGTCCACGAAAAAGGGAGCAAGTGTAGTAAATACATTTCGCCACAGTTTGCAGAGAACGCTCTATTATGGGAATAAAGTTTGAATTTATGTCGACATCATTTTGTTAATATTTAATTATCGCCTTTATGGAAAACAATGGAATTATTTCCCGTCTCGTTAATTTTGCAAATGCTGATGCGAACTTCAGATCCGGTCGATTACCTCAACCATACAGGGTGTACGGTGAAAGAAACCTGAGCGCAAGGGTTGAAAAAGAGTAATGTATGATATTAATAATGTATCAGGAAGTAACGTGCAAACAGAATTAAATTGATCGCTAATCAATAAAGTCCCAGAAACGATCGGGTCTTAAAAGCACTCATTTCCAAAGCCTTTAGTTGCATACAGTTTGAACAAAATCTCCCGCATAACTTTAGGAACTAATCGCGGTCATTTGGACTAGTTTCGGCTAATTACCATCTTCATGGCTTGGGAACTGGAAAAGTGTAAAAATGCACAAAATTTATGCTACACACTGGTGATGATATTTAATGAATTTAGGGTCATTTTAGTACCGTTTTGAATATTTTATTTTCAAACTTAAAATAGTATAAAACCTGGCAATTTTGTCATGCATTATTTGCATGAAAATTTGGGATTAACCCTTCACTTCAAATTCTATATTATGCAGATGGGCGCTCTTCCTTTTTTAGGGTTGAAAACTACCCTTCTTTGCGAAAACCCATAAAACTACATATTAAAGCTTAATGTGGGTAAAATTTGGTTTAGATGAGTTGAGTAATGATTGAGGCTTTGGAACATAATTTCAGAATATTTTAACCCTTGAAAATCAACCCTTATTATGATTTGATAAAAAAAAAGTATTTACCCTCAAAAAGTCAAATAATCTATTATTGACGACAGTTGTTCAGTGTGCATTTCGAACAAAGTATGGTGTTCAACCTCCTGATAGATCGTGTATCCAACGTTTATATAAACATTAAACAGTTGATAGAGAAGGAGTGTTTGTGTATTTGTGCAAAGGGAAAAGGGCAGCCGCACACGTATAATCGTATCGATACCTCTCCAGTGGGGTCATATTGAACATCTGTGAACGTATTCTTTAGTGAAAAAAAACTTACTTTAATACTCTTCATTTTGATATAACCCACGGTTCTATGTTGGTTCTTTAATTAAAATTCAGATTTTCAAAGTAGTGATATTCTTTTTGAATCGCTCTGTATATACATTACATGCGTAAGGGTGTATTAAAAGTTTCTAATGTGTAGATAGTATACGAAATGTACGAGTATACCCGGTCATTTAGATAATCATGCTCCGATTTCTGCTTTCAGAATTTCTCGAAAAAATTGTGATTCGTTTTTAAATCATAACTCCCTTATTTTTTATGATAGAAAGTGTATTAAAAAAAACCATTTTGTAGGTTTTCGCTACAAGGCTAACCCAAGGTAGTGCTCCCATATAAATACACGTTTTAAACGTCTATATCTCACTTAATTTTTATCGTACAGAAAATTCCCGAGGAAAATGTTAGGAATTAAAAATGCTACAGTTGGATGCTGTAGCAATTTTTACGTATCTCCAGTTGTTTTGTAGTTATTTTGAAGGACGTTTTCCACAAAATTCGTTTTCACTTTTAGATTGAATTAGTTCAAAATTAAGTCTTCTAAACTGGTCACACTTCTAGAATGTACTAATAATAGGTACGTAATAAAAGAAAACTGGAAAAGGGGACTAATTTTAATTGGGGTGATAATAAGGGGGTTGCTTGCGCTGATTTTTTCGCTGAAAAAAATACGGATCTACCTTGTTTTTATCGTAACTCACTAAATTTTTATGCTAAAGTTTGTTTTTTAAAAAAGAAGACAGGTTTTTTAAAATACTTTAAAGAATATTCTACAAGTGTTTCTCGAAAAATGCCTAGTTTTGCCGTTATTTGACTGTGAAACTCTCTAATTTAGAGATTGACGAACAAGAGTTAACCTTTAACAAGCCACAGCTCGGTTCAGAGCATTTTCTTTATTTTTTCAAAAGCTACGATTTGGTTCTCCACAGTTATTTTAATAAAATGCATACTTTTCGAGTTTTTAGCGAATAACCAATTAAACACGTTAATCTTTCGGCCGCGAATAACTTCCTGAAAAGAATGTATGGAGCACTTTTTGCTTAGAATTAATGTTCCAGTGTTAAAATTACAATAAAAAATTACCACCCCCGAGATGGCGTGGCAACCACCCCCAGAGTGAAAGCGCCCTTTGGCATGATATAGATTTTGATCCTTTGGCTATTCTCTACCTACTGTCAAAATTTGAAATTAATTGATTCATTTTGAACAAATTGCTAGTAGTCCAGGCTAAATAGCTCTAAAATGATTTATTTTCAAAAAAAATTAGTTACCGGGCGAAACCGGTTTTTTCAGGCAGGTGAAATGAATAGAAATTGGGAAAAAATAATTAAAACAGCTGAATTTTTCCGCGGGTGAAATACGGGGGTTGAAATGGGTGGAAAGTGGTATTTTGCAAATTGTGGCAAAACTATTGATTTTAGACGAAAATGTTAAATGTAAAAGTTATAGAGATTAAAAAAATGAGCAACTTTTGTATCTGCACTATTTTCACATAACCTCCAATTTTCCTAGAAAAACCGGAAAAACTGTTTTTTTCGTTTTTTATTCTTATTTTTGCGAAAAAATGTCGTAGGGGTTTGAAATTTGGAGGTAACATAGCCTGTTTTATGATAAAACAGAAGATAATTGTTTGGGCCCATAAAGTTGAACCGTTTCCAAGATCTCACGATTTCTGTAAAAAATCACTTCTTTTTCAAGGGGATGAAAAATCTATTTTTTTTCATCGTACAGAGGTGCGCGGGGTAGCAAAATTTTCGTAACGACTTACATTTTAATAATCAAAAATAAAAAATATTATTCCAATAGAAAAATTTCAAGAAAAGCGGCAAAAACGGGGGGAACAGTTTTAAGATACACCGTTTTTGACAGTAGGTAAATAGGCTTTTTTGCAAATAAATTAACGTGTTGGATCCGCGCTAATAAAAAGTTTTGGAAATCTGTCTTCTCTCTCCTCTTTAATGTTGCTAAAATATTTTCTTTTGTTTCCCAGTGCCCAACTGCCTTAATTAAAACATCTTTATTATTTCTTTTTTCTGCGCTTTTTTACTGCAATAAAAGAAATTCGAAGTAAAATCGAATTTTTTTGCTTCCTGAACAATATGTTTTTGTTCACTAACTTTTCTTCCTGCCTGTTTTACAGCTGATGGGATTAAGCTGGGCCTGTTGATCGTTAATTTACAGGAATTATGAATAAAATCCTCATAAAGTTTATTCCTGCAGGTTTGACATCTCAAATCATTTGCTTTTGGCCGGTAAAACCAACGTTCTTATTGCAGATTTTGCAAGTTTATCAACAGGCCCAACGCAATTGCATCAGCTATAAAACAAGCAGGAAGAAGAGTCAGTGAAATAAATTGTTCAAGAATCAGGAAGCAAGATACATAATTCGATTTTATTTCGAATTGCTTTTATTGGGGTAAAAATGCAGAAAAAAGAAATAATAAAGATGTTTTAACTAAAACAGTTGAGCATAAAATAACAAAAGAGAATATTTATGCAAACATTAAACAGAAGGAAGAAGACAGATTTCGAAAAAATCTTTATTAACATCCAACATGTTGATTTATCATGTCAAAAACCGTGTATATCTTAAAACTGTTTTTCCGGTTTTTGGCGATTTCCTCGAATTTTTGCTATAGGAATAATATTTTTTTATTTTTGTTTATTAAACTATAAGTCTTCCCGAAAATTTTGCTACCCCGCGCACCTCTGTACGTTGAAAAAAAATAGATTTTTCATCCCCTTGAAAAAGAGGTGGTTTTTTTCAGAAATCGTGAGATCTTGGAAACGTTTCAACTTTAAGGGTCCAAACAATCATCTTCTGTTTTATCGTAAAACAGGCTATGTTACCTCCAAATTTCAAACCCCTACGACATTTTTTCGCAAAAATAAGAATAAAAAACGAAAAAAACAGTTTTTCCGGTTTTTCTAGGAAAATTGGAGGTTATGTGAAAATAGTGCAGATACAAAATTTGCTCATTTCAACTTTTACATTTAACATTTTCGTCTAAAATCAATAGTTTTACCACAATTTGTAAAATACCACTTTCCACCCCTTTCAACCCCCGTGATTTCACCCGCGGAAAAATTCAGCTGTTTT